GTAGCAGGGCACTGAGCCTGGGAGGAGGGGAACTAGAGGGATACATCACAGAACCAGGACTTAGTTCCTGCTCTGCCAGTGACTTGCTAGGTGACCCAATGGAGTCACTTCTCCTCTCTGTGCTTCCGTTTCCTCATCTATCAAACAAAGTCTTATCATTGTCTTCTGACCATCTCCAGTGAAGCTCAGAAAAATACTGCTAAAACATATTGGAAGTAATAACGTCAGTAGCTTAATGTTGCTGACTTTAAGTAATTAATAAAATATATTTTAATGCTTATTTATTTATTTTGAGAGAGAGGGAGAGGGACAGAAAGTGGGAGAGAATCCCAAGCAGACTCCACACTGTCAGTGCAGAGCCCAACTTGGGGTTTGATCGCATGACGTGGGATCACACTTGATCCAAAATCAAGAGTTGGATGCCCGACTGATTGAGCCACCCAAGAAGCCCCTAAAATATTCTTAATAAATGAAGTGATAATGCTTATGGTTCACTGTTTTCTCTGAATTTCTTGCTCTGTGTGAATTTGGAGGTTTGGATCAGGAAAGTTGTTATCAGATTGACAAAATTCATATTTGGATTATTGCCCAAGAGATGTGTCAGCACCTAATGGATTCTAGGCCCTCTGTTTGATATTGGGGATCCTCAGTTTCTGCCTGGTAAGACACACCTTGAAAAAGGGCAAATTTTCAATGTACAGACTCCTCAAACAGCAATCAAGTAACCACAGGAATAAAAGGAAACCAGGAAATGAAGCAATCACCTCTGTGGGGTAAGTATACATAATCTGTCTATTTAATCGTGATTAAATTCAAGAACACGTCCCTCAGAATAGTTACTGCTTTGATGGAGGGCATAGAAAAGAAGCTTGGAAAAAAAACATTTCTGTGAGATAAAAAGCAGAAAAAAACCCCACAATTAATTCAACTCCCGAGTATTGAGTTTAGTGAGGGTGAACATAGTAGGTTCCTGTACTCAAGACAAATGTCCATTCAGAGTTAAAACAGGAACTGGAAATCCTTAGGGCAGATGAAATTAAAATTAAAAAAAACATTTTTTAGGGTTTATCTATTTTTGAGAGACAGAGCATGAACAGGGGAGGGGTAGAGAGACAGGGAGACACAGAATCCAAAGCAGGCTCCAGGCTCAGAGCTGTCAGCACAGAGCCTGATGCAGGGCTTGAACTCATGAGCTGTGAGATCATGACTGAAGCTGAAGTCGGATGCTTAACCGGCTAGTGTTCCTAGAATTTAAAATTGTAGAGAGGTACTAGCAAATGTCATGGATACAGAGGAACAGGAGCAATTAACATGGGAGACAGATGGGAATCAGTGAAGATTTTATAGAGGCTATTGCATTGAGTGAATGAAGCCTTGCAGGATTAGTATTACAGCGGATAGAGGAGGAAGGGGACTGGGAGAGGCATCTAGTCAAGGCTCAGTAGCATGAAAATGCATGAGAGATGGGGAAATGCAGTGGGAGATGAAGTTGGAAAGATAAAATATGTTGAAACGTGGACAGGGCCCCATCTAAGATGACACATGTGAAGTGCCTGGACACAACATTTTAAGGAGGCATTCAGTCTTAGGGTCAGACAAATGCAGGATTGGCACAGTGGCTCTGGTCATTAAGAAGAGAGTTGATTCCATAGTCTCCCATATAAAAGCATTGTCAACAATAGCCAAACTATAGACAGAGCCCAAATGTCCATCGACTGATGAAAAGATAAGATATGGTGTGTGTGTATGTATGTACATATGTGCATATGGATGTGTATACACATATGTGTATATATACATACATACACACACTTATGCAATGGAATATTACGCAGCCATCAAAAAGAATGAAATCATGCCATTTACAACGATGTGGATGGAGCTAGACTGTATTATGCTAAGTGAAATAAGTAAATCAGAGAAAGACAAATAATATGATTTCACTCGTGGAATGTAAGAAACAAAACAGATGAACATATGGGGTGGGGGGAGAAGAAAGGAAAACAAACCACAAGAGACTCTTAAGAGAAAAACAGGGTTGATGCAGGGAGGTGGGTAAGAAACTAGATGGGTGGTGAGTATTAAAGAGAGCAGTTGTAATGAGCACTGAGTGTTGTATGTAAGTGATGAGTCACTGAATTCTACATCTGAAACCAATATTGCACTGTATGTTAACAACTAAAATATAAAAATAAAAACAACAAACCACAAATCTTCCATATGAGGGACTTCTGCTTCTGGAAAGATGGAGTAGGTGTACTTTTATGCTTTCTATCAAGTGTGGCTAAAAATCCTGGATGTTATGTATAAAACAAACACAGGACCCTGACAGGTGGAGAGAAGAAAACAGACAAGCACCATTCCACCTAATTGCTGGGGTAATATCAGAGGAGGCGTATTGGAAATTCAGGACTTTCACCTCCTGAATAAGGCCACCTCCACTGTGCTCTCAGTGGAGACCAAAGCGTGAGGGGATTTTTTTGTGGTCATCACAGGTCTAGTTGATCTCCTTGAGGTAAAATTCATGAAAGTGGCTCCTCTCCCCCAGACAAAATTTGGGACCCCAGGAATTTTTTTCTCCCGTGCTGGTCCTCATTCAGCCTCCAGCAATTTACCAATTACCACTGAAATATTCTTACCAGTTGCTGGCTCTAACAGTGGCTTCTGCTCCTGAGAAGCTGCAGTTCTCTATATTCAGCTGCCCCATCAGTTTTGGGGTGTCTATGTGCCCTGTGACTTCAACTCACTGGCTGGCCTAGGAAGACATTATGATTATCCGTGTTTTCAGCTTTTTTCTTGTTTTGAGGATAGCACCTCCCAAGGTCTTTACATGTTGTGGTGGAACTGGAATTTCTGTGTTCGTTTATATTCATCCTTTTTTTTTTTTTTTTTTTTCCCTGTTCCTCAGACTGGATATTCTCGATTGACCTATCTTGGAGTTCACTGATTTTTTCTTCTGCCTGCTCAGATCTGCTGTTAAGCTCTTCTAATGAATTTGTCTCAGTTATACTTTCCAACTCCAAAATTTCTATTTGATTATTTAATAATTTATCTCTTTATTAGTATCACAGACATTATTCTCATACTTTAGTCTTTAGGCATGGATTCCTTTGAAAATATTTAAAATAGTTGATTTAAAGCCTGTGTCTACTAGAGCCAATGTCTGGGCTTCCTAGGGAAAGTTTTTTTTATTAATTGGTTTACTTTCCTTTTATCAGCCATACTTTTCTTTTCTTTCTTTCTTTTTTTTCCTTCCTTCCTTCCTCTTTCTCTTTCTTTCTTTCTCTCTTTCTTTCTCTCTTTCTTTCTTTCTTTCTTTCTTTCTTTCTTTCTTTCTTTCTTTCTTTCTTTCTTTCTTTCTCTTCTTTCCTGCCTTTTTGTCTTGTTGAAAACTAGACATTTAAAATAATATGCCATGGCAACTCTGGAAATCTGATTCTCCCTGCTATCTAGGGTCTGTTGTTTGGTGACTTCTCAATTCATTGAGAACAATGAATTCTATAAAACCTGTCATCCTTGTTGTATGCAGGCACTGAAGTCTCTTGATTAGCTTAGTGAGCAGCTAATGACTGGACAAAGATTGTCTTAAATGCCTAGAACCAATAAATCCACCTTTCATGAGGGATTCTGTGTGCATGTTGGGGGATGCCTTCAACAATCAGCCAAGCAATTGAAAACTCTGCCATAGCCTTCACTTTTTGCTTGGGAAAAGCCTCAAGGTCAGTCAGAGGTGAATGCTTAGGGCCATCTTATGTCTTCTTGAGTATACCCACAGATTTAGACACACACACAGTCCTACACATGTGCATGGCCTTGAGTCTTAGGAATATTTTATGGACATATAATTTGCCAGCTTTTCCTTTAAGCCACTTGGCTACTCTGTGTTTTGCCCCAAATGTTATCCAATACTTCAGGCAGCCAGGAAGTTAAAACTATCATCTGTAATTGTTTTTGCCAAAATCCCCTTAGAAGACTTTTTGCATTGGGTGAACTTCAAGTTAGGTCAAATGCAGATAGCTTTGCAAGTGAGGATTTTCAGGTAACCAGCAGACAGGTCCAATAATGACAATTCTTTGGGAATAAGGCTTTGATACAGCTTTACCTCTGTTTTCCCTTTGGTGGCTGCATTGGAGCTTGGGCCATTATTTTCAAGGTTGCCATGGAGCTGGAGAGGGAATGATGGAACAATGCCACAAACTTGCTGTTTATATTGAGATTCAGTTCTTCTTAAATAAATGTTTCCTGAACTGCACCAAGTTTTTGATTTTCAGTGTCTGTAAAAGGCAGTTTTTCTGCTAGATTTCTCATTGCTTTTAGAGAGGAAAGAATTTTCAAAGATCTTATGCGACTGCTTTAATTGATAATTCCCCTGCTGTTTGTGATTCCACCCAGGTTTGGATAGAGCAACAAGAAATAACCCTTCATAGTTAAAACAGTTTCCTCTTTTAATTGAACAAACTTTGTTGGGTGTGAGTACCTTAAAATAATAGAAACCTGATTTATAACAGGCATCCTATTCAAATTACTTTTTGAAATCTTTTTGCTTTAGCCATAAAGGATGATAATATTCTGAAGTCAATAAACCTATATCTGAGTCCTGTAGAATGACTACAACTATATATTATTCTACTGTGTTGCCACAGCATAAAATCTACCCAGCCTTCTATAATTGAACTTTTAGATATGAGTATTTTTAGATATTAGCCTCCCCACACTACTGTCATTTTATTCTATCAAAATCCCAAATTTGCTTTTGTTTAATAGTAAAGCCTTAAAAGGTTCTCTGAGGGATGAAAACTTAAAAAGGTGAGGCTGAGAGTAAATGATTTAGAATAGGATTTGGACATTCATCTTGCTATTGGTCTTAAAATATATCTGAACGTGGAATGGAATTCAGAACACTGTGAAAGGGAGCTGGTGTCTGAAGTGTTGATGTCACACATCCTATGTATGACCTGACAGGCACAGAAGCTGGAGCTGGAGAGTGGCTGTACATTCTGTCAGCCCTCGCGGAGACGATGCATCTAAAACCAAGCTCTTCAAACTTTTCTCTTAATTACTCCTAAAAGGGTTGCTTAGAATTTTCTTTCTCAATTTAGAAGTTTGAGAAATCCCTGATAAGATGTACTGTTCCCTAAAGTTTATATTAATTGTAATTTTTTTTTGCTGCCTGCATTCATCGAGCATGGAAGAGATAGACCCTAGTAAGTATGTTTTGGCAGTTGGGTTGTTTATTCATCAGTCTTTGCTTACTTTCCCCAAGTTTCAGGGAGTAAGATTAAACAAATTGCTTATTCCAGAAAAACTGGATTTCCAGAGAGGATTTAGAAGGAAAAATGGCAGTTGTCAGTGGGAGAATAGAAAACTGTTTTCCTGAAACTTGTATCACTTAGAAGATGGATTTGTATATTATCAGCATTGTTGAACATAACATTTTTAAAAAGCCATCCCCTTAATCATTCCCATAGGAGATTTTTAAGCCTGATATCAAGTGAGGAGTTAATTCTGAATCTGAAAGTGATTGTATTCCAGGAAATCCAGATGTCTGGGAGTAAAACCATTTGTTCAAGTGCAGGTGTTTTATTGCTTACAGCTACACATTACTGCCCGTGAAAGGAAGAAAAAGACTCTTCCACTTTCTTCTTTCTTTCTGGATTTTGCATTTCAGCCTCCTCTCATTCATAACTAAACCCTTTTCCACCTCTCTGGGCCAGTTTAGGGTCCTAGGCATTCCTGGGAAGACTCATTTTGCATAAGGATCTGTGGTTTGGGTTTCATTCTTTTTCCACTAGAAGAAGCTGTTGAGGTTGCTAGGTGGGTGTGTGGGGAGGGAAGCCACATTCATCACTTGTCTGCACTTCTCTGCCTAGGTAAGTCTCCTAAAATCAACACAATAATTATGTTCTGCATTGCTGGCGGTATCCTGGTGGCCATGCTTGTGCTGATGGGTGTTGTCATCTGTCTCTACTACAAAATAGCCAACGCATTGAAGTGAGTGATGTGGGTAAGAGTGAAAAATACTCCTCAAATAGGATACCTGGGGCTCTCTGCTTGAGCAAGGTCATTCCTTGCCCTGTGGCCTCATCCTAGGTGAGGTCAGGAACAGCAAGTAGGTTGGAAAAGGCAAAGGCAGGTGAGTGTAGAATCTTGGTTTTTCCCCCCCTTCTGGCTTAGGGCTGTGAGCTCATAAGTAAAATGTTCTAGGCTGGGTGGTTGGGTGCTGCTTTGCTTCACCTACCTTCCCTGCGTTGACTCTCAGCTGGTTTATTCAGCACACTGGCTGGGCCCTCCCTCTGTCCCAGGCACTGCAGACTGTGCAGGAGGCTATGAATATGTCTGGGTCTTGGACTCACTCAGAGGATAGGCTGGCTGAATCTCTCAGGTGTTCTCTCATTCACTGTGCTTGACCTCTGGGACAGGGAGGTGGGCCTGTAGGACTGTAGGCAAACTGAGCTGTGAAGATCCCCAGGCACACCCATGCAAGGGAGTTAGATTAGACAAAAGATAGGAGCCTTCAAATGTGGATCCTCAGAAGTTGTGGTGTTCCCATCCTAGGGAAGTTAAGCCTGTGAGCTAGAAGGTAAATCCCAGAACCTGGGGGTGGCCCTCTGTGGCCCCTTCCCGATCATGCCCTGCACCTGATGGGCCTGTAGCAGTCAGCTGGGTGAGCCCCCCTTGCAATTCACTCTCCCTTATTTGCTGTAACCTGATTTTACATTTCTAGCAGTCCTGGGAGAGGAGGGGGTTAGCTAGGAACTTGGGACAGGGCCAGAGAGCTCTAATTTTGGGTTCGTGTCATACATTTGATTGGCTCCAGCCCTAAACTTCCCACATACCCCCAATAATTGTGACAAACGGATGGAGAAGAAAAATTCTAATCCTACATTTTTTGTATGTCTTTTCTTGAGATGTTCAAAGGCACCTCTGTGTTTGGCCTTAAAAAATAATTCACCCCTGGACAAGGTCGCAGCTGCAGCCATCACTGCTGGGTCCTATCCCAACCTCCAATGCTGTGACGAATGTAGCTTGTATGCCGACTTTGATTCCCTGCCACCGTGCTTCTGTGACGTAAACGAGGGACTCTGACTTGGGTGGGCACAAAAATCTTCATGTGCAGTATTTCTTTCCTAGTAGAATGTTTTATTATTCAAGTCAAGTTTTATAGTGTTTACATTATGTATTATATAACATATTTATGTACTTTTCAATAAATGCAATATTGAAAATAATCCTTTGCCTCTGGTGTTTGTTGTTGTTTGTTATAAATGCACTTAGGGGCTTCTGGGTGACTCAGTTGGTTAAGGTCCGACTTTGGCTCAGGTCATGATCTCACAGTTCCTGAGTTTGAGCTCCACGTTGGGCTCTGTGCTGATGGCTTGGAGCCTGGACCCTGCTTCGGATTCTGTGTCTCCCTCTCCCTCTGCTCCTCCCCTGGTTGTGTGCTCTCTCTCTTTCTGTTTCTCAAAAATAAATAAACATTAAACAATAAAAAAATAAAAATAAATAAATGCACTTAAATGTATTAAATGTACTAACCACTTGGTGACTTGGGGCAACTATCATGTAGTATTATAGTGCAATACAAGGAGAGTTAGAGTAGAAAATAAAAACATCCGGTACATCTCTGACCCCAGAAGAAAAAAATATATTTCTTTCAGGGCATTTCCAGTTTCCGACTCAGCAGAAATCCCCAGCTGGAGTAGTTCATGTGGTTCTCCTCCTCCTGAGCGCTCCATCCGCTCTCCTCCAACACCTCTTCTGTGGGCAGTTATGTCACACTGTCCTCAAGAAGGAGAACTGTCATCTTGGAGGGAGTGGGAACAAGCGGATGCGACGGGTTTAGGTTACCTTGTCTGTGTAATGATGAGGTTGAGCCCAACGGCATCTAAAAGACATCTCAGAAGACCTGCGAGTCTTCCTTCTGGCACTCACCGAATCTTCAGACGCAGATCTCCTTTTAGATCACTTTAACACTGAACTTTGCTAACTCAGCTGCCAGTGCCTATGACTGCTGATAGGAACCCCCAGCTGGATCGGAGAGGCCAGGGTTCTCGATCTCAGCAGTAGGACACACTCCTCTCCACTCCTGTTCCTGCTCTTTCCGCTGTCTGGACCCCTTTTGACTCACAGACTCCCCATCTGAAACTGCATTTTGTACTTGTCAACAAAACCCTGGCTTTGTGAGCAGAGCACTCTCTCCAGAGGGCTTGGCTGATGAGGGCATTTCATTCAGCACTCTAGTGGTGGTGAAATTTGCCAGGAGGGGCGGTGGGAGCTGAGGCTGCTCTCACAGAGCAGCCGCTTGGAGTGGCCGTGAAAATCCCTGCAGGCTGAGTGTCGGGCAGCCCCAGGATGAGTTTCAGGAGGCAGATCCAAGGCTGCATCTTCCCTGCATCTTGCCCTGAGACTTTCCATCTGGAAGTAACCTGTCCCTCTTGAGTTCCTGAAGCACTTTCTCTGCCTCTCTCTGGCATCTCCTGGCCTGGTTTTTGGTGTTCACTTGTTCGATTTTCTCATCCCTGGCAAGCCCCTGAGCACATCCCATTCCACCCAAAGGGCAGCACAGTGTCCAGAGCTCCAGAGGCCCTGTGCAAGTGCGTTCTGTACAGGAATTCTATGGGAGTACATCAGACGTTCAGGCGTCCCAGGGTCCATGAAGGAGGCAAGATAGGGCAAAGGTTTCTTGAGACACCCCTCCAGTAGGCAGTAGGGACATAGTATACCCCGTGGGCTTCAGAGCTAGATACACTTGGTTCAAATCCAACTCTGCCTTTCAATAGCCACGTGCCATTGGGGAAGTTTCTTAACATCTCTGAGCCTCAGTTTCCTTGATGTAAGTTGAGGGCTTGCATAGGTGACACTTAGGATTAAGCAAAATAAGGTAGACCAACCCCACAGGTCCTGGGATCCAGTGATCTCATGGCAAATTGCCAGTGGCCTGAGCTGCTTCTCCCCTAATTGCTGACCCAAGTTTCCTTCCTCTGTGGGAGCCCCCTCCCAGAAGAATGACCACAGAGCTCTCACACCCAGTGCTCCTGGTTCAGGGAGCTAGGCGATCATGTCCATAGGAGATAGGGCGAGGATTTTAGTAAGTAAGTGGGGGGTAGGAGTGGTGATCTGTGCACAGCTGAGGGTAAGGGGTCCTTAGTGATCAGAAGGGTCCTTACCCTATACTGATGCTCCCTGCTCACTTGCACATCAGGACGTCCAGTCCCCACCTGGTTTGTGGCCGGCCCCAGAAGTCTCCGAGCCTACAGGAACTGAGTGGGGCTGTGCCAGGTACCTTGATGAGTGTCCAAGCTCCTTATTGAGCACAACTTGTTAACGTCACAGGGGTGGCCTTGCCGCTGTGGCACTGGTGTGAAGCCAAATGCCTGGTCCAGGCACCTAACTAGGAACGGATCCTCCGGATCACAGTCTAGTACTATGCCCTGCCAAGAACCTCAGTGTCCTAGAGCCAAACAAGGATCTCTGGGCTGTAGGACAGTCAGAACAACATGGAAAGTTGGGGGCACTCAGGAAGGGTTTCAAGCTATAAGCTCTGTTACTATATCTACCATTACCTCCACAGAGCTGCTGGTCATTTTCCTGCTCAAAAAATTCCATCTGAACTTCAAATAAAATGCAAATGCCTCATCTGACCTACAACATCCTTCACTGTTGGACCATTATTTCCCTCTCCTTAACTTATGTCTCACTCTCCTCTCCTTACTCACATCCACCATACTGGCCTGCCTTCCCTTATTTTGTAGACATGCCCAACTGATTCCTGCCTCCGGGCCTTTGCACTTGCCCATTGTTTTGCCTAAAATGCATCTCTTGAGCCCAGATCACACATGAATGCCTCTGTCTTTCTGTTTGCTCACATTTCATCTTTCTCAGTTGCACCCCAACATCGCACCTCCCCCACTCTATCCCATCACCCTGTTTCATTATACTCATAGTACCTGTCACTATTTGTAATTCAGTTTCTTTTTTGTCTGTCGCCTCCGCTTTGAGAATAAGTTCCATAAGAGCAGGGATTATGTTTCTCATATTCAACTGTGAGTCCTCAGGCCCTAAGCAGGAACTAACAAATAATTGTTGAATAAATGAATGAATGAAAACAGGGAAGTCCCCAATACAAGCTCCTTGTGAGCACAACTTCCTTGTGAGCACAACTTCCTAGTTACTGCAGCACCCATCTCACCTTGGACACCAGGATTCCTTTCTGTCATTGGTAAAACAGTGCCGAGGGGACTTTAATTCACCTGCGGCAGCCTCTCTGGGCATAACGGTTTGAAGTCCTAGAAGCCGAACCTGAACTTGTACTTTCTTTGTGCTCCCCACACTGTACCACTTCTTCCTCTCCCTCCTAGCACCGCAGCAGACATCAGAGTGACCTAGCTGGACCCACACTTTGCCCGGGTGCTACCCACCTCCCCTGGCTGATCCTTTGACTTTAATTTGAGGAGAAGACCAGCGAAGGCTTGAGATATCAGCAGTGCTACCTGCTTCACGATCTGAGCAAGTAACAGGGTGAAGGCTCAACTCGAAGTTGGTGCCGTGATGACTTACTCAGTGCCTCCTGCTGCTCGGGTGTTGGAGATCCCCTGGGAAGAAGTTTTTAGCTGGGAACTTTCTGTAAACTTTCCAGAAAGGAGCCGGAGAGGGAACACTCGCTGTTGGGGTTTGCTGATAATAAACCAGTCACACAGCTGCTCTATTCTCACCTAAATCTAGCCCCTGCCAGGTCAGACTGACACAGTTCCCTGAAGGTCGCCAGAAAGCTCATGAAGCCAGCGGTTATGAAACACCGAGAAATATAAAAGCCTGCTACCCCTCTGGGCTGTTCCTCCCCTGACAAAGATGGAGGCTGTGAGAAGACTTGTTCTCTTGGTCCTTTTCATTGTGCCGTGTTTGGCGGAGTTCAATTTGATCGAGTCTGAAGGTAAGAAAATTAAATGAGTTTTTTCCCCCTAACAAAATAGAGAGACTTCCTTTCAAGTGGCCTCTGCCGAAAGTTTTGACGTTTTAATTATCTGCTAATGGCCATATTACAGAGAACATTTACTCATATGCTCTTGATGTGATTTCGAATTAGTACTAAGCTTTTTTCAAGCTTACATGACAATATCTGTAAAAATATTTTTAAAAAGCACAAAGAATTTTACCAGGTAATTTTGCTACTGAGAACTAAATATTTCAGAAGTAATTATAAAAGTACAGAAAAACAAACATACGGAGTATTTACCCAATTGTAAAAAACAATGTGAATTTCCCTCATTTATTATGTAAGTTGTAAATCTACACAAACGTATATACATCGGCAGTTTCTTACAAGTAAGACTTAGCTATAAGAAAGGTGCCCAAGCCCGGGGGGCGGGGGGGGGGGGGGGGGGGGAAGGGGGCTGATGGGCATGGAGGAGGGCACTTGTAGGGATGAGCACTGGGTGTTCTTTGGAAACCAACTTGACAATAAACTATTAAAAAAAAAAAAAAAGAAAGATGCCCAAGATCTACCTTGAGAGAGAGAGAGAGAGAGAGAGAAAGCTACCTGAAATTTGTACAATATGATGTTTATGTTTAAAATACATACATTTGAGCATTTTTAAAAATCAGGAAATAAGAAAGGAAAGGTTCTGAAGTATTTACAAGAAGTTTTTAATGGTCCTTTTTTTTCCTGGAAGTGTGGGATTATATACTTTTTTCTTTGCTTTCTGATTTTTAAACTAATAAACATAATAGTAGTTACTGTAGGGAAAAAATAAGAAATTATTGTTATAAAGACATAACTCATCAGCCATAGATAAAAAGAAAATGAGAAGCTTTTTGTTTCTAAGTGGAGGTTTTAACTCTTAGTTGGGTTCCGTTCTGAAGTATTTGATTTTTTTTATTTTTTATTTTTTTATTTATTTCTAGGAGAGAGAGAGAGAGAGAGAGACAGTGTGAGCAGGGGAGGGTCAGAGAGAGAGGGAGTCACAGACTGAAACAGACTCCAGGCTCTGAGTTGGCTGTCAGCACAGAGTCCGACGCGGGGCTCGAACCCACGAACTGCGAGATCATGACCTAAGCGAAAGTCGGACGCTTAACCAACTAAGCCACCCAGGCGCCCCTGAAGTATTTGATTTTTTAATTCACATTCCATTTTAGTTGCTGCTGCAGTTCCTCCCCTTCTTCCCTCTCTTCCTTTTCTTTGGTAACAGCTTTATCAGGATACAGTTCACATACCATAAAATCCATTCTTCTAAAATGTAAAATTTACTGGGTTTTAGTATAGGCACAACATTGTGCCACCATCTCTACTGTCGAATTTGAGAACATTTTCATTACCTCAGAAAGAAACTCTGTACCTATTAGCTGTTTTTTCCAATGCTCTCAGCCCAAGACAATCACCATCTACTTTATATCTCTATAGATTTCCCTAATCTGGACATTTCCTATCAATGAAACCCTACAATATATGTCATCTTCCACTCAGCGTAATATTTGCAAGGTTCATCCATGCCCTACCACGGGCCAGCGGTTCATTCCTTTTTATTGCTGACTGATCCTGCGTTATATGGATGGGCCAGATTTTATTTATTCATCGGTTGATGGACATTTGAGTTGTTTCCACTTGTTAGTTATTTCTATTAGTGGAGCTATAAACATTAGTGTGCACATGTTTTCATTCTTTTTGGAGACATGCCTAGAAGTGGAATTGTTGGGTTACGGTAACTCCCTGTTTAATCTTTTGAGGACTTGTTGGCCATTTTCCCAGCAGCCATCCCATTTTATGGCCCCATTAGCTTTGCAGGAGGGTTCCACTTGCTCCACATCCTTGTCAAACTCTTGTTTTCTGTTTTTGACACTAATTTTTTTTTCTCATTCTAAAATGGCATGAAGTGGTATCTCACTCTGGTTTTCTTTTTTTAAAAAATGTTTTATTATTTATTTTTGAGAGAAAGAGGCAGAGTATGAGTGGGGGAGGGACAGAGAGAGAGGGAGACACAGAATCTGAATCAGCTCCAGCCTCTGAGCTGTCAGCACAGAGCCCGACATGGGGCTCGAACTCATGAGCCGCAAGATCATGACCTGAGCCGACGTTGGACACTTAACCGACTGAGCCACCGAGGTGCCCCTCTCTCACTGTGGTTTACATTTGCATTTTCTCCGATGACTAATGATATTGAGCATCTCTTCATGTGCTTATTGGCCTTTATGTCTTCTTTGGAGAAATATCTATTTTGGTCCTTTGTCTATTTTTTACTGGGTTGTCTTTTAATGATTGAGTTGTAGGAGTTCTTTGTATATTGTAGATATAAAGCTTCTTTTCAAAACCATCTTTATTCAAGCCTTAATATATTCTTTATCTTTTCTGCACCACGTATAGAAAAATCATAAATATTTTCTCTGCAAGGACTCTAGAGGGACAGATTAGTTGTTGGTGGCTTACTTTGGATGAGTTAAATGCCATTCACAATGACCTGCGTGCTTGTATGGAGAGTACATGTGGGAGGTGGAGTCCCAGCCCCTGGAGGAAAAGGGCAGGGCTGCTGACTTTCCTCAGTGCTAACTGTGGTCTCTACCAGGCAAATCAAGCTGCCGGGCCAGTTTGGGAGGCACCAGCCAATCAGATGACCATAGAGCCCTAATCCTGCAACTCAATCCCAATGAGGACTGCACCTGGACTCTAGAAAAACCAGAAAACAAAAGCATCAGACTCATCTTTTCCCATTTCCAGTAAGTAGAGGCTTTACTTTCTAATGAGAGTGGTTGAACTCTGGCCATACCAGATCTTGTCGAAACAAGATCAGCTGCTCCTAGAGGTAGCAGTAACTCCCATGACCATGAGGATGGTCATAATGGCTGACAGTCACTGACTGATGACAGGGCCCCTGGCCGTGGTCACAGAGGGCCTGTGAAGGCAGGATGAGTATCACAGGCACAAGGACTTGTCTCGGGTCAGGTAGTAAGTGGAGCAACCAGAGTTAGTATCTGGCTAGTATAGTTCCAGATTCCAGGCCCCAAAACACCAAAGTCATGGTTTCAATCTATATATTATAATCAGCAGGGGAGCTTCCAGAAAGTCAGATTCCCAGGCTGCACCCCATGAAAGTCTGGGGGGGGGGTGGGAACCAGGCACTGGTGTTTTTTTTTTTTTATTTTAAATTTTTTATTTTGAAATAAATACACTCAAAGTGTTTTCTGTAAGTGCCCAGAGTATGGCAGTGCGAGGCCAGGCTGAGGACAGGGCGCTGCATGACAAGATTCTCTCAGGGCTTCATGGGACCCTCCTCAGTGAACCCTCTCAACAGCCCTCTGGGGTAGATGTAGTCTAATCCCCAGTCAGTGGGTGAGAAATCCCAGAGAGGTCCCTTCATGTGCCCAGAGTCACGGACTGACACAGGTGGGACGGGAACTGAATCCCAGCAACCTTGCACCACAGCCCCTACTCTCACCCCCTGCCCGTGGTTCTGAAATTGGGGAGCATCAGAAGCTGCTGGAGGTTTTGCAAAAGCATAAGTGGGGGACCCTGGACCCAGGTTCTGACCCAGATGGGAGTGGCTGGGGCCTGAGAATGTGCACAGGTAACGACTTCCCAGGTGTTGCTGGTGGTGTTGCTGGTGTGGTCAAGGTGCCACGCTTTGAGATTCGTGGCTCCACATCAGGGAAGTTGGAATTGACTTGTTTGGCCTTCAAGGGAACAAAAGAGAGTGGGGACTCCCAGATTGCCTAGAATTCAAGGGCTATTAAGAATCACATGCCGTATTCTTTTTTTTTTTTAAAAGATTTTATTTTATTTTTTAAAATGCTTTTATTTATTTTTAGAGAGAGAGAAAGAGAGAGGTAGAGAGACACAGACAGAGAACTCCAAGCAATCTATGCTGATAGTGTGGAGCCCAGTTCAAGGCTTGATGTATGAACAGTGAGATCATGATCTGAGTGGAAATCAAGAGCCGGATGTCTACCTGACTGAGCCAGCTACGTGCCCCATGAATCATATACATTATTCTTGATGTGTTAGAGAAAGAGAGGATGGCAGCAGGGGAAAAGTGAGGGAGGGGAGATGAGCATTTCACCTTTCTTAGACACTTCTGTGTGCCAGGGCTGTGCCGGGTGTGTCCTGTTCAGATGGTTATAAACCTCCCACAGGATAAGAAGAAAGCTTACAGAAGGGACAGTGAGTGAAATACTGCGTAGCTCATTCAAAGTTACACAGCAGGGAAGTGACTATGGTAGGAGGAGAATTCAGGTTCGCCTACCCTTGTGCTGTTCCCTCTAAGCCATCTTGCAACTATGTCAGGATTCTGAGGCCATCCGGAGAGACCCTGTCAGGATGGGCAGAAAACAAGACACAATCCGGGTTTGCCCTGTCCACTGCAGGGCACGGACCATCCTTATGAACGAGGACGGGGAGATGTGAGGGAAGGAAGGGGCATCTGGGGAGATGCTAAATTTGCCTTCCTGTGAGAGAGGCAGCCATGGAAGAAGAGTTGCGTCACCTCTCTACAGGCTTGGATTTCAAATGTGAAAAGGGAATGAATTCTAAATAAGAGGGTCTCACCCCACAATTTGCTCAGGGGCATGAGGAATGGGAGAGATGGAGATGGAAGGAAAGGAGTCCGGACTCGAGTCCTGCCTTCCCCTTGACTTTACAGAATTGTTGGCCAAGCATTGTGCTTCCTGAGGCCTTTACAGATTGACGGTGGGCAGGTTGATGTGGAGGGGGTAGGGGGTGGTGAGTCATGGCGTGCAAACTGCCATACGGAGGTGAACAATGGACTCCCCACTGAACCCACTGGCCTGGTGGTTTGTCTCCAACCACACATGTGTTCTGTTCACAGGCTCGATCCCAGTGGGGGGTGTGAAAATGAAAACATCAAAGTCTTTGATGGAAACTCTACCAAGGGCCCTCTGCTAGGGAGAGTCTGCAGTAAACATGACTACATTCCTGTTTTTGAATCATCATCCGATACATTAACGATTCAAATAGTCACCGACTCTGTAAGAATGCAAAGAACTGTCTTCATCTTCTACTACTACTTCTCACCTGGCACCTGTAAGTTCTCATGTGTTCATACTCTGCACCTGCGAGCACAGAGGGCCACATACTCTCCTGCATGGGTTGTCGTAGCCTTGAGTCTGGATCTGTGCCCTGAGAGCTCGCTGTGTGTGAGAGCAGTAGTTCTCTAACCTGTGTGTGTAAGAATCACCCCGAGGGCTTGTGAAATCAGAATCTGATTCATCAGTTCTGGTGTGGAGCCCATGAATTTGCCTTTCTAAGCAGCTCTCCGGTGAGGCAGGTGGATGGGGCTGATCAGACAGCTATGTGTTGAGATGTACTGTGTGACAGACCAAAGCAGAAGCTCCAAGTTCAGCCTGTTTTCAAAAAAATGTTTAATGTTTAGAGAGACTGACCAGGAGTGGGTGAGGGGCAGAGAGGGAGAGAGACACAGAATCTGAGTCAGGCTCCAGGCTTTGAGCTGTCAGCACAGCCCCAATGCAGGGCTCGCACCCATGAACTGTGAGATCATGCCCTGAGCTGAAGTTGGACGCTTAAGACTGAGTCACCCAGGCACTCTTATTTATTTATTTTTAATGTTTATTTATTTTTGAGAGAGAGAGGGAGACAGAGAGTGAGTGGGGGAGGGGCAGACAGAGGGAGACACAGAATCTGAAGCAGATTCCAGGCTCTGAGCTGTCAGCACAGCCCCGACACAGGGCTTGAACTCATGAGCCATGAGATCATGACCTGAGCCAAAGTCGGTTGGTCAACTGACTGAGCCACCCGGGTGCTCCCAGCCTGTTTTATTAATAACCCTGAGATCCTTTGAAATGCCTATTCCAGGACTGCTCCTCCCTCTGGTCTGATACATAACATCTGTGGAGCTATCGAATGTAAATATTTAACACGTCTTCCATGTGATTTGTTTTTTAATTTTTAAAAAATGTTTATTTATTTTTGAGAGAGAGAGAGAGAGAGCAGAGGAGGAGCAAAGAGAAAGGGAGAGACAGAAAATCCCAAGCACGCTCAGTGCTGTCAGTGCAGAGCCCCACATGGGGCTCGAACTCACAAATCGTGAGATCATGACTTAAGCTGAAATCAAGAGTCCAATGCTTAACCGACTGAGCCACCCAGTTGCCCCTTCCAGGTAATTCTTGATGAAGAAGGTCATCCGGGTAGCACATGCTGAGAATCTCTGATCTCACATCCGAATCTAAGACTGTCAGGCAGGCTGAGGCTACAAAACAAATACATGGTCCTGCATTCACAGCACCCAGATTCCACTGCACCCCAAAGCAGAGTGCCAAGCAATTCCGCAAGAGGGTTCTGGAACAAAGCTCCACTCTGGTTTGCTTTCCGAGGCCCAGAGTGGACCGTGTCACTCTCCTCGGAAACCACGGAATCCTTGGTGGTGGCAGATCTCCAGAGTCGAGTAGTCAAGGCTTTCCGAAGCCAGACTCAGGCCACCTTTTCGGGCCTTACCTGACTTGCAGCCCAGGCCTTAGCCAGCCTACACCGTTCCACACCCCCCTAAAAAGAGCCTTTGGTGTTGGCGGTCTGTGTTTCACTCGTCCGGCTGCTCGCTTACTTACCGGGGATGGGAGGGACGGAGGGTGGCTTCACGAAGGCTGCATCTGAGCTGAGCTGTGAACAACGGTGTAGGGTAAGGAGAGGCGGGAAGCAGGGGAGGAGGGCTCCTGTCTGCTGGCACCGACAGTCTGAGGAGCCATGGGAAGGAAGGACAGTCTGGAACAGCAGGTCAGGCGGAGGTGGCTGATGAGGCTGGGAAGCGGGGCTGGGGCCAAGTGAGGAGGAGCCTCAAATGTTAGTCCTAAGAGTGTGCATCCCTTTCTGTGGCTTTTGTCCACAGAGGATTTTCTGTGGCTAAGACCCTTAGTAGAGGGTCTCTAAAGCTGGGACAGATCTTACAGTGTCACTCTGCCCTGCACAAGGGGCCAGAAAATCCAGTGATAAAGAAGGATGAAAAGCTCAGTCTGCTACCAATTCATAAGAGGGCAATGGAATAAAATTCAGGGGTGAGGGTGGAGGGTTGCTTATTAAGCTGAAGCACAGCACAGAAACTAAATGAAGTCTGTCTCTTGATTTACATTCTTGGTCACCCTCACATCCCTTTCAGCTATTCCAAACTGTGGTGGTTACTTGGATGCCCCTGAAGGATCCTTTACCAGCCCCAATTACCCAAATCCGCATCCTGCGATGGCTTATTGTGTGTGGCACATACAGATGGAGAAAGGTTACAAGATAAAATTAAACTTCAAAGACATGTTGTAAGTACTGATCCATTTCTCCTCTTGGAGAAAGGCAGCAAGCCCACTTCACAAATGGGGAACCTGGGGAATAGAGAAGGTCATGTGGATCCCCTCCTAGAAAGGCATTATTCAAAGAATGGGTGTATTAAGAAAATACCAATAAGTGTCTGACTTTGGCCCAGGTCCTATTCTTGAAGTTCATGGGTTCAAGCCCTGTGTCAAGCTCTGTGCTGACAGCTCAGAGCCTGGAGCCTGCTTCAGATTCTGTGTCTCCCTCTCTCTCTGCCCCTCCCTGCTCATGCTCTGTCTTGCTCAAAAATAAATAAAACATTAAAAACAGTTAAAAAAAGAACACACCAATAGTATTGCATTGAACTAAGGGGACTATTTTTCTCAAGATTCTGAGGTCGCATCAGGGACGGGAAAGGCCCAGGTTTGTCATCAGAAGCCTAAGATCCTACCGTAAGGAAGATCTTGAATCACTTAGGACTGGGATTGTTGAGATTTGAATTGGCTTGGAAAGCCTTCTCACCAGAGACGCTACTTCTCTAGCATAGAAGGGGACGAACACTGCCGATTTGACTTTATCGCCGTCTACGATGGGCTGTCCACCACATCTGGCCTGCTTGGACAAGTGTGTGGCTATGCAAAGCCCGCCTTCGAGTCCTCGGCAAACTCGCTGACCGTTGTGCTATCTGCAGATTACGCCAACTCCTACCGAGGCTTTACTGCTTCCTACACTTCAATTTATGCGGAAAATGTCACCACTAGTAAGTCCTGCTCCTCAGCTATTTTGAGCTGTCTGAAGGCTGTGCCCATTGAAACTGTCCCTTAATTCTTAGCCCAACCGTGACTACCCTGCTTGCAAGCCTGTCGTACATACTTTGGAACATATTCGTAATCTGAAGCTGGAGAATCAGTTCTGTGCATTGCTTCGTACACGAGGAAGGGAATGATTTTATTAACTTGAGAACAATTTCTGTAGAAAACAGGGGCTGTTTTCCTTCCTGCCTTCTGTAAAGGCACAATTAAAACTAATAGAGTCATAGATTCAAGGGGCAAACAAGGTCACAGTGAACATCGTAAAAGTTGGGTTAACTGCTCTGTTGTCTCGGGCTTTCGATTATGGTTTAGAGCAAAAAGGCTTTGAGTTTTTATATAATCTTCTGTGCACAAAGCTTCTCAAGATCCAAAGTACCTAGTTGATGTAAATATAATCATCTGTTTGTTTTGTTTTTTTTTCTTGACAGCATCTTTAACCTGCTTCTCGGACAAGATGAGAGCTATCATTAGTAAATCTTATCTGACATCATTAAAATATAGCGAGAATAACTTACAACTAAGTGACCCAACCTGCAGACCGAGGATATCAAATGTGGTGGACTTTTCTATTCCTCTGAAGGGATGTGGTACAATAAAAAAGGTAAAGTTGAGTTGGATTTTGTCGAATGCCAGAGGTGTGTTAGATAGCGCTGACAGTGCGGCACTTGCTGGTGGCTTTAACAAAAAACTCCCAAGTATTAGCGGCTTGACATGTGGTAAACTTGTGGGGACAGATAAGTGCACTCACTCATTTACACACCAGTGTCAAATTACCACATTCATATTCAGGGTCACTGGAGGGTGGTTATCTTTCCCAAAAGGTAAAGAACTCTGACAATTCACTGCAGAAAGTTCGAACATCTAAATACTGCAGGTGTAAGACTCTACCAATACTACTTGTACAGATAAGGTCTACATCTCATGTTTAGCAAAAACCTAACTGTATTTTTATGATCTTCTTTCCCCTGTAAGGAGAGAAGATAAAAACATTATGCTTTGTTTTAAACACGAAGGATATAAGTTTGTGATTTGTTTTGCCTTTTCTAGAACTTTAAGATCTCAGACATTTACAACCTGTAGGTCCGTTTAAGATGTATTCCCTAAACTTTTCACTCAGGTCATGAAACAATGATGTCGTTGAAAAAAATGGGAGCTACTCCAGGGAATCGATAAGGATGGAAGTAAATCATTATTTTTTGCTCCATGTGAACACCTGGATGATTACCTGCACATCCCTAGGGAAGGTGGTCTGGGGGAACCTTATTGCAGGACTTTGATCTTCATACACTTGGGAAACTGCCCAGGGAGCCACACTAACTTAATGCTACTTATAAAAGGCAGTACATTATAGGGTCTCAAGTCTTTCTAGGGCTGGACATTTGGGTTCAAAATTGTTTTTTTTTTAATTTTTAATGTTTATTTATTATTGAGGGAGAGAGACAGAGCATGAGCTGGGGAGAAGCAGAGAGAGGAGAAGACACAGAATCCAAAGCAGGCTCCAGGCTCTGAGCTGTCAGCACAGTGCCAGATGCGGGGCTTTAACTCACAAACCATGAGATCATGACCTGAGCCGAAGTTGGACGCTTAACCGATTAAGCCACCCAGTCGCCCCACAAAATTGTTTTTAATGTAACTGAAAAAAGTTTTGTCTAATTCCGTCTTTGTCTTTCTAAGCCAAGCTCTGTCTCTTGTCTCACATGTTTTCTTCCTACCCGGCATGTTTCTTAAATAAAGCACATTTGAGTCTTATAGTTTTCCAACACGCAAGCTACCGACTTGCAATTTATGAAAACTATGTGCCTACCCACATATGTCATTCACATCAATGCTCTAAAATATTACCGGACTTAAAATACAACATTTGAATTTCACCTTCTTCCGCAGGCAGAAGATCATTCAATTACTTACACCAATACAATCACTTTTATTCCATCCTCCATATCAGAAGTGATCACTCGTCAGAAACATCTCCAGATTGTTCTGAAGTGTGAAATGGAACATAATTCTACTGTCGAGACGATGTACATAACAGAAGATGACATAATACAGAATCAAAGTGCGCTGGGCAAATATAACACAAGCATGGCTCTTTTTGAATCCGATTCATTTGAAAAGCCTATACTGGAGTCACCATATTATGTGGACATGAACCAAACTCTTTTTGTTCAAGCCACTATACACACTTCAGATCCAAATTTGGTGGTATTTCTTGATACCTGTATCGCCTCTCCCACACCTGACTTCGCATCTCCAACCTATGACCTAATCAAGAGTGGGTATGTGCTGATGGGTGGCATGCTTTTCTGAGGATTAATGACTTGAATGAAGCAGTATTTTTTGTGTGTGGTTATATGATTCCTGTATGCATACTGTATAATTTTTTTCTATGTTGATACCATGGAGTTTAGTAAATTCAATTGTTTTATAAAATACCATTAGTATTATATATATATGTATGTAATATATAATACTTAAATACTTTAAATACTTTAAGTATTATATATATAAAGTATATACACATATACTTTATATATGACAAATACTTTAAGTTAGAGCATTTCTATAGCCACAGCCCATATCCATTAGAATTTTAAGTATGTTTCCAAAATATTTGCTGGAAGAAACAAATTTATTTCTTGTCAAGAAGACTTTGTGGTTTTGTTTTTGCTTCTTCCCCCGTCCCCCCATGTTGATTATTTTCAACAAAACCCCAAAAGATTATTTCATTTGTTCTAGATTTAGAACACAGACATGTGGCATTCTTTAAAAAAAAAAAGAAGTTTTTTTTTTTGAAAGGATAGTTTTCCTTTTTTTCTATAAGCTGATGGACTTTAACTACATCAACCATATTGGCACCTTCAAAGCAAGTGTATAAAGTAAGGTGTTTGAGTTCTAATATATCTAAATTGATTTTCTTTTTAAAAATATTTTTTAATGTTTATTTTTGACGGAGAGACACAGAGCGTGAGTGGGGGAGGGTCAGAGAGAGAGAGGGAGACACAGAATCCAAAGCAGGCTCCAGGCTCTGAGCTGTCAGCATAGAGCCCGACGAGGGGCTTGAGCCCATGAACTGTGAGATCATGACCTGAGCTGAAGTCGGACGCTTAACCAACTGGGCCACCCAGGTGCCCCTTGAATTGATTTTCTAATTAATTCACATGGACTAGGAATTTTGTTGCTGAAGAGAACTTTATCTTACCCAGGAAGCATATCCATAGCCTAGATCACTGTGGTCTGAGCTAAAGACATTGTCCTTCTAGGGAACTTTTTGGACCCACAAATTAGACGGTTCAGACACAACTTTGCATCATTTCTTCTCAACATCAAACAGATCAAACTGTAAGTTTTCTAAACGTGCCATAAATTCTGTTCCAGGTGTAGTCGAGATGAGACGTGTAAGGTGTATCCATTATTTGAACACTACGGAAGATTCCAATTTAATGCCTTTAAATTCTTGAGAACTCTGGGCTCCGTGTACCTACAGTGTAAGATTTTGATATGTGACAGCGGCGACCATCAGTCTCGCTGTAGCCAAGGCTGTGTCTTTAGGAGGAAGCGTGACATTTCTTCATACAAATGGAAGACCGACTCTGTCATAGGACCTATTCGTCTGAAAAGGGACCGAATCGCAAGTGGAAGTTCAGGTAAGGAACATGGACTCCTCATGGCCCATTACATTCTGCTCAACTGTGTTCCTTCTTACGTATGTACAGTACAGAGGCTTATGATATTTGTAGCCAAGTCCTAAATAAGTTGAATTAAGCACACACAGATTAATTTTTCTTTCTATTAGTTGATGAAATGTAAGCCATGTACATTTTAAGCATATTAAGTACTGACAATGTACCACTATTCCTGTGGTTTTTGAGTATAATTTCCTCACTTCTAAAAACAACACATTCTTTTAGCTTCCTGACTCCTTGTTATAGACACCATGGCAGATAACAGAATCAAAGCAGTGTATTTTAACCAGCATCCCATGCAACCACCTTTTTGGGGAAAAAAAGCAATTTTTGTCTAAAACAGAGAAAATACTCTATTTTTAAGATAGACCTACTTCTTTAATGTTGATCTTATTTTTGAGAGAGAGAGAGAGAGCGTAAATGCACATGCAAGCATGGGGTGGGCAGAGATTTTAAAGTTTATTTTTTTTTTTGAGAGAGAGCGAGCATGTGCACAAACGTGAGCACAGAGTTGGGGGTGGGCAGAGAGAGGGAGACAGAGGATCCGAAGCTCGATGCTCAAAGGCACGAACCGTGAGATCGTGACCTGAGCTGAAGTCCGATGCTTAACCACTTACCTGACTGAGCCACCCAGGTGCCTCCAGCCCTGCTTCTTTTTAAAAGATTGAAACATGAGCCCTGCCAGGTCACAGGAGAATGAGGTGGTGGTGGCCGCTCACGGACAAGCCACAGCTAAATGGCTTTGGACAGACTATAATTAAATAAAAACTGTTTATAAGAATTTATCTCATGTGAAAATTATCTTGGCATAAAAGAATCTTGTGAACTCTATGTTAATTATTATTTGAATGGACTATGAGGGAGTAGGATTCTAGGTTTTAGCAAAATATTTCTTTTTTTTAAATATTTTTATTTATTTCTAGGAGAGAGAGAGAGAGACAGCGTGAGCAGGGGAGGGTCAGAGAAAGAGGGAGACACAGACTCCGAAATAGGCTCCAGGCTCTGAGCTGGCAGTCAGCACAGAGCCTGACGCGGGGCTCGAACCCACGAACCAAGAGATCATGACCTAAACGAAAGTCGGACGCTTAACCGACTAAGCCACCCAGGCACCCCTTTAGCAAAATATTTCTAAGATAAAAACAAAAGAACACAAAAATTAAATCCAGGAACTTTATAAACACATTCACTAAGGATGATGCATTTGTGGATATTAGTCTGAATTTAGTTGAAAATTTGTGAATGAAAGTTATAGAAATATCATCCATATTAGAAAGTGCCCTTTTCCGGGGCACCTGAGTGGCTCAGCCAGTTGAGTGTCCTACTCTCGGTTTCAGTTCAGGTCATGATCTTACGGTTTCATGGGTTTGAGCTCTGCATCGGGCTCTGTGCTGACAGCGCAGAGCCTGCTTGGGATTCTCTCTCTCTCCCTCCCTCTTTCTGTCCCTCCCCTGCTCACACTGTCTCTGTCTCTCTCAAAATAAATAAATAAAAACTTAAAAAAAAAAAAAGAAAGTACCCTTTTCCTATTTCAAGAGGAGAAACTAGTTGTTTCTCTATCGATCAAATCTATTATGACAACTATGGGAAATAGCGAGAAATCCATAAATGGACTTGCACTTCCGTTTGACCAAGATGCTTGATTTTCACGTTTTTCACCTTATGTCAGGGAAACAAATTAACTGCTTAAACAAACAAATGTAAGGGCATCTTGTCCTTTCTAACAGAAACAAACTAATTGAAATATTTGCTCACTGTTGCTGTGGGCTGTGTGGCATTATATACCACACATTAGTTGATGCACAAGACATGCATTTGCGAGGAGATATTCAGGATTCATGAAAATTTTGTAATGCCAAGTAATGCTTTTCTTTAAATGATGTTTATCTTGTTTCCAATTATAGGATCTCAGTATCAAATACATGGAGAAGAAACTCAGAAGCAACCTTTCAACAGTCTGCATCTATTTTCATTCATGGTCCTTGCTCTGAATGTAGTGATCGTCGCTACGATCATAGCAAGGCATTTTGTGAAGCAGAGAACAGACTACAAGTACCAGAAGCTGCAGAATATTAACTGACGGGTCCAGCCTTAAGTGAGACGCATTTCCCCTGAACACCGAAGGAAATGCTACCCATTATGAATAAATTAGAGAGAGCCTCATAAAAGTGATACACAAGTCTTGCTGCCATTGTAGTCAGAGTGTGCTGCCTTGCAGGGTGATAGAGATGAGCAAACATTATATAAATTAGGTCTCAGAGTAAAGAACTGAAGCCTCCAAAATATTAAATGAATTAAAAGCATCCTTTATTACAAACAAGACATTTCCAGTAAATAATTAGGTGAAAGGAAAAAAGGTTATTTTTACTTAAGTCTTCAGCATTAGATGTATTTATTTTCTAGATGCAAGTGTGCTACGTTTTTCCCCCTTAAATAGTTTATTGTCAAGTTGGTTTCCATATAACACCCAGTGCTCATCCCAACAAGTGCCCTCCTCCATGCCCATCACCCCTCTATGCTACGTTTTGAAACACATACAAAAGTTATCATTTCTAAAATGGAGTGTGACAAATAGAATGACCGTCTGTTTTATTCATACACCTTGCTATTTTAGTGCAGAGTCCCCGCATTTTACAACTTAAACACATCTCAGAAAAGGGCTTTGGAAAGAAGAACCTGACTATAATAGGTGAGACTTCTGCGTAGTTTCTAGGTTACCGAATGAAAACACCAATTCTCTCATTTCCCATCAAACACCAAAGCCAAACATACCTGTAGCAAGGAGGAGTCAGTTCTGACTTAACACCTTCCTATCTACTGTGGCCGAGCAATTATTAAAGATCTCAGTGTGAACTGACTTTACACATACTGAACATCACGCTGAAGTCTTTGTCTTAGATGCATCACACAACTCTACCTCGTCAACTTAGTACCACCATGGTTTTGGGTCCTGATCTACATGCAAAGAGGCAACCACATTTCTGAGTGCTCAAAGACTCCCCCCCACCCCCACACATGTGTACCAGGCACACAGTAATGCCTGGGGAATACACTGCAAGTAAGACACCATCTCTACTCTCATTGAACAAATCGTTAGGGGCCTGCTGGGCTTCCAACTCCAAATCAAAACGCGTCTTTCCCATTTTTTTTTTCAATATTTCCACACGGATCTTCCAAGCACTTCCCCCAAGTGGTCATGCAGTTGGGTGTCCTCTGCATTCCATCAGTATGACAAAATGTAGCTACTGAAAAGTTCTCTTCCAACCTAGTGTGAAAACACTGAGAACGTAATCAGAATGGGCAAATCAAACTCAGTACAGAAAATCAGAACTTACAACCTGTCTGGTTGCTGGCCCGTCTTGTGCTGGTGGCCAGGTGTGAGGGCTGCTCAGAGGCATGCCAGGCATGTAGTATAAGACTAAGACAATTGTCAAATGTTGTGACTCAGTAGACAGTGTAAAATTGTGTTACCATGCACCAAAAAACCCTTTGCAGAGCTATTCAGCTATCCCAAGGCATTATAAGTATAAAATAATATATATCAGCAAGTTGTTTTCTTCAGGGGAAACTGCAGTAAAGTGATTTAAGATCCCAGATCTGGAGTTGGTGGCCTGGGTTTTAGCTCTTCCTCTTCCCTGGTGGGTCACCTTGTCCAGATCCCCTTCAGCCTTAATCTCCACAATTTGAAACAGTGAAGATAACAGCTGCCCACCCCCCAGGAGTGTTGCAAGGATTAAATGAGAAAATGAGTTGCAGTCAGGGGCAATCTGTGTTACCTGCCATCAGTGGAGATTACCTATGGCTGGCCCCCCAAGTCCTGTTTTAGTACCTGCTTCCTCGGACCCCATCCCATATTGACGGTCATGACTTGGATCCCAGGAAACCAACTCTGATACAGAGGATTGTGTCCAGAAGGATTCCTGGAGAGTGTGCTTACGATCAAGCCCTGAAAGGAGTGAGGGAAGCAGGACCTGGCAGGGGAGGTGGTGAACGGAGAAGTGGCTGTAACAAAAAGCCCACTCAACCCCCAGGAGTCCTGGGCTGGGCTGGCTCTTCAGAGATGCCCCATACTGAGGCTTGGTGCTCTGGCCATTACGTGCCTCTCTTTCTTTTTTTTTTTTTTTTCTTAAATAGTTTATTGTCAAGGTGGTTTCCATATAACACCCAGTGCTCATCCCAACAAGTGCCCTCCTTTATACCCATCACGCCCCTTCCCCTCTCCCCCACCCCCATCAGCCCTCAGTTTGTTCTCAGCATTCAAAAGTCTCTCATGGTTTGCCTGCCTCCCTCTCCACAACTATTTTTCCCCTTCTCCCCCATGGTCCTCCATTAAGTTCCTCCTAATCCACCTATGTGTGCAAACATATGGTATCTGTCCTTCTCTGCCTGACTTATTTCGCTCAGCATAACACCCTCAAGTTCCATCCATATTGCTATACATGGCCAGATTTCATTCTTTCTCATTACCATGTAGTATTCCATTGTATAGATAAACCACATCTTGATCCATTCGTCAGTTGATGGGCACTTAGGTTCTTTCCATGTTTTGGTTATTGTTGAGAGTGCTGTCATTATGTGCCTCTCTTGACCACTTGTTGGTTGAAGCCTCTGAATGTGGCTGAGACAGCTGCCTTGAGCTGAGAGAATCCCTACAGAGCAGTGGGACTGAGAGCCATCAGCCACCAACACTCCTGGAAGCTTGAAGAACAAGTGATCCCAGCTGAGGGAGATGTGGGTGTCATACCAGAGCAGTCACTAGACTCACATCCTAAAAGAGCAGAATTTTCAGAATGTCTCACAGTGTTAAACTCTGACTCTATGCTGTATTCAAGGCACATGCCTGACAAGGTATGTCAGCAAGGCTAAAAGCAAATTGGGCAATGGAATACTAACAGGTGCAAACAAGATGGGGAGGGTCACCTCATTCTTACTGAGCAGGGTGGAAGCCAGGCTACCCATGTGACCTCTGCTGTTCCTCCCCCTAGGAAAGTAGAGTTGCCTCATTACCTCTGGGTGAGGGTCAAGGTCATGGCTCTACCCAGAGTGGTCATAAAGGGTGAGATTGGAAGCCCAGTCTCCCCAGCTGGTCTCCGCCTGACAAGGGAGGTGTTGGGGAGGCTCTGGTTACTGCCCAGAGGTAACACCACCCTGCACAGGGGAGGGGAGATGTAAAGGATCCTGAGGGCAGAAGGAAGTCTAGACTCCCCTGCTTCACCTTTGTTGGCTGGGCTGGGGGTAGGGCCACAGTTTCACCCATGGATTTGGAGCCAGGAGGCTCTTTTGTAAAAGTTCTCTGTCTTGCCTGTCTGCTCCTTTACCCATCCTAAATTTGGCTGGAGATAGTAGGCTTCTCTTGGGACCTTTTTGTCTGTATCCATAGGTGTTTCTGGGTTGTAGTTTTCTGGTAAGTGGATTTTGATCCAAAAAGCACAGGATGCATAGCAGTGGCCATGGATTTCACACTTCAGCATCCCTAAGAACCACCTGGAGTACTTGTGGAAAGGGCCACTTCCTGGCTTCCATCAGCTGAGCCACAGCCGGAGAGCCTGACCTGGACATTCACCGACCCCTTATTTATTTATTCTGAAAAGTTCGGTCCTTTCAATGTCAATAGTTTTCACAATAGGCACCTGTTAAAAGCCACATGATGCTGAGTTTGGAAGCTCTTAGCCTCCCACTTCCTCAACACATTTGGATAGCTGCAGTTAATGGGCAGATAAGCTTTGGAAAGTAGAAACTCCAGCAGTTCACAGCTACTTGGAAAACTCCTTAATTCATCTGAAGCACTTGGGTGAAATCGATGTCCAATGATAAAATCATGCGACTGAAGATGAAGCCACTCAGTGACAAATGATTGAGTTTTGATTTAAGGATCAGTCTTCCCCAGACTGACCCATAATTACGTTTTTATCAGCTTCTACCAGGTGTAAGCAGGGAACATCGTCAAAGTAAATGTCAGTAACCTATTTTTACCAAGATGGTTGTCGATGAAGGGCACATTTGAAATGGAACTGAGAGGCTCCCCTTTAGACACAATGCCCACCCTTGGGTCACTTGTCAGATTTTCATCTCTTGGGGACTTCAGGGTTAGCTCCTAGGCTCCCCCAAACTCTGCCCTCCTCCCCAGGGGACTTGGCCATATTCATCTCATCTCATACATGTTATTTAATGACAATGATGGGAACAATTTCTTGGGCTTGAGGACTCATATTTTAAATGTTGTTGTTGAATATTTCTTGACAAGCTAAGAAAAAAACATTGACCATATCCAAACCTGTCTCTTTAGAGACAGCTTTGAGGGTACTGAGCCTAGTGCAGACCTCTTTCTGTTGTGATACAAAGAGGGCTTAGATAAAGTGGGTGCTGCCCTCCTTTCTCAGGAGGGTATGAGATATACAAGCCTTCATTTTTGTAGTCTTCAGATTTCCCATGTACTTTTAAAGTTTCCTATAAAGCTTTGAGGATCTGGGCACAGACTGAGTGTGTGGTAGTGCAGCAAGCAGTCACGGGTGGTTCATGGGATTGTGTCTCAGGCTCTCATTTGCTGTCAATATCAAAGCTCTCACCCAAACCCAACAAAGGCATAACTTGTTCCCTTTGAAATGGACAAAATGAGCTTATTTTGAGTAAGTGATAACAAGTAAATGAGTAAATGACATGTTTGATTCAACTAAAGTTATTAAGGTTAAAAAAAAAAAAGCAGTGGCAGGGCACCTGGGTGGCTCAATCAGTTGGGCGTCCGACTTCGCCTCAGGTCATGATCTCGCGGTCTGTGGGTTCGAGCCCCGCATTGGGCTCTGTGCTGACAGCTCAGAGCCTGGAGCCTGTTTCAGAATCTGTGTCTCCCTCTCCCTCTGCCCCTCCCCGGCTTGTGCTCTGTCTCTCTCTGTCTCAAAAATAAATAAAAGTTAAAAAAATTTAAAAAAAAAAGCAGTGACTTCCTGACACTTAGTTTATTTTCCATAAGACTCTTAGAGAGATCTGAAAAGAAATTCTCACATCACCCAAGGGACAGAAACAAAAAGATCCACCTACTAGCATCTGAATACTAAGGAGTCAATTAAAAAAATCCTTAAATTAGCAGTTTGATATATAGAGAGAATTCTGTTCTCGATAACATTTTGTACAGTTAAGACAATGATCACATGCTTGGTAGTGAAGAATAAGAAAATGCGGCATCTCCAGCTGGCAAAGATAGTGACTGCCTTAGAAGTTTAGTAATCAGAGA